CGATGTGGGGCTTGATCCCAGGACCCTGGGATCATGACCTGAGCCGAAGGCAGATGCTTAACGACTGAGCCACCCAGGCGCCCCCAGTGAGCATGATTTCAAGGAGAAAAATTATGTTTCAATAACACACCTTTGAGGATGTTAGACTCCAGTTCTGATTAATTGTCCTTGAATGTTGATTGTTTGCCTAAGCTAGATATTTTGAGGTAAACTTCAGAGAAATTGCCACAAGAGCCCATGTATACATAGACAATCTTCGTGCCTGTTACTCTGTGGGAATAAAAAAGGACCCCATGGGCATAGGATTATTTGGACAGCTGGACAATGGAATGGACTCCCCAACAACTGTGTAACTCAACTATCACCTTGACCAATTCTATGGCTGGGATGGCAAAACTGCTCCTTAAAAGCCAGAGCAGGGCCACCTGGGTGGCACAGTAGGTTAAGAGTCTGACTCTGGTTTCGGCTCAAGTTATGATCTCAGAGTTATGAGATCGAGCCCTGTGTCAGGCTCTGTGCTCAGCATGGAGTCTGCTTGGGATTCTCTCCCCCTCTCCTTTTGCCACTTGTGCTCTCTCTAAAATAAATAAATCTGTAAAAAAATAAAAATAAAATAAAAGCCATAGCATACCCCACTCCATGGGGTTAGCTATGGATTTATGGAAACAGTAGATGGCCCCACCTTCATTACGACTAGACTGGACAATGCACTCAGCAATGCCCATATCTCCTGGGATGAGTCATCTACTTGCCAGCAGTTCCTCCTAATTAGGATATTGTTAAAGCTAGACATCAGGCAAAGAGGGCTTCTTGGTGATTTTATCCCTTAGCCATATTTGTCCCAAGAGTCACCTCTACTGATGTAGAATTATAAGTAGAAGCTTTAGCCAAGCATAGAGCAGCCACTCTTAAACAGACCTGGCACGGAGTCACCCTCCTAAATGATCAAACCACATAGATTCAAAAAGTGGTCCTCCAAGGGGCACCCCAGGAGGACCTCAGATCTTTCAGAATATTTTCATAGCAATTCTTTGACCTTCAGCACAACTCAGAAAGAGAGGAAGTTGGGCAAACACAAGCTCCATTTTAACAAATGGAGAGTGAATTACGGAAGGTTTAAATGATCTGCCCATGGTCAATGTAATGTAATGGAAGCCAGCCAGGATCCAGGAAGTGTTCTGTACATTTGACCTCCCAGCCTTGAGCCAAAACACCAAACTGGAGTAGTCCAGAGAAGGCAGCAAGCAGAACTCAGCTTATCACTTATAGTTCCTAACTCTTCCCTCTTTTTTCTCTTTATCCCATCACTCTGAGTTCCATTAAGAACTGGCAAACCAAGACTGATGTCAAACAATTGAAACATACAGAAGGAAAGACCTTTCTTAAATACAAACCTTGATTCTCAGTCCCTAGGTTTTCCTTTTTCTAGTTGACTAAGGTTCCACATGTACTGGACTGTAGTTGTAGGATGAGGGAAAATGCTGAAGTTCAAAAAAGCTTTAAAATAAGCTCTGTTGGGGGGCGCCTGGGTGGCTCAGTTGTTAAGCATCTGCCTTCAGCTCAGGTCATGATCCTAGGGTCCTGGGATCGAGCCCCGCATCGGGCTTCCCTCCGCGGGAAGCCTGCTTCTCCCTCTCCCACTCCCCCTGCTTGTGTTCCCTCTCTCGCTGTGTCTCTCTCTGTCAAATAAATAAATAAAATCTT